TGCTATACGTACAACCAAAAAAAGATTTTGTATTTCCATAAGTGGGGTAAAACTATGGAATAATTTAAGTGTAGACATAAAAAAATAGTAATAGAATTGATGAGTTTAAACATAAGTATAAAGGTATGTGTCAATCAAGATATATGCAAGAACAGGCTCAATGATAAATTAGATGGAACATTGTGGGTGTGGTATATGAATGTTAATACGCTGTAATAATTCTTTAGTATATTACTTGTGTGGTGGAGAAGATAATTATCTAAGAATGTAATTATATAAGAATGTTAACAATCAGTAAAAATTTTTAGTATATTACTTGTGTGGTGGAGAACAAAATTATCTATGTAAAGATACTGCCTGCAAACCAATGATGGTAAGATGATGTTTGGGGGTAGGACTAGATAAGTCTGACTTCTTCCTACTCCGTTCAAGCATATACTAGGTATAAGCAAATTGATAATGGATTAGCATTTGTGGATATGTATGAAATTATGTGTGTTGACATATCGACTGTCTTTACATGCTTGAAAGAATAAAATCAATCAATCAAAGTAAATGTGATATTCTCTCAGGCAGCCTAAAATGAAAATGGTATACTCTTCATTTATGGCCCTTGGTTTTTTTATGTAAATCTCATCCCTATCTCCAGGCCTCATGTCATTTATTTGCCTGGCAAATCTCAGGACACGTGGTTTTCTATGATACTGTATTTAGCTTTGGTTGTCCCCTGAGATTTTCCTGCCATTTTCAGAGTGGCCTGAGAGTTCCCCTCCCTCACATGCTTTGCCCAACCCCTTTTTGTGTAGACATGAGCCTGCTCCTCATTGGCTTAATAGGTTCCTTTAGCTAGTTGAACATGACATGAATTTAAAACTTGCATTGAATTGGACATAGATGCAGTGGCCACAGCAAGTATAGTGGCACAATATTTGTACTGTGTAAATTTATGAAGTTGACAGAGTGTAGTAGTGTTCAAGGGGAGCATTTCAGTTCTGTGGTAAACTACAAAAGGAGTTAAATGGCAGAGAGGAGTACAGTATTGTGAGAGTAACATGAGAGGTCTGTGTCTCTCGTCTCATTGGTACATCTAAAAAAATGGAGAGATTTGTCATACACACTTTTTGGCTACAGTTAAGTGGACAAATGTCTGTGTTATAAACCTTTCACTACAGCTCCTTTTCCTGCTCAGTCTTGGTGTAAAGAAAATATTAAATGCCCTACAAACTGTGGTTCATATGAACTCACCCTGTTTTATTTTTATCTTCCTGTTCATGGGATTATAGTTACATGAGAAATCTTTAAATAGTTTTAAATGCTTGTTTGCTTAGCCAATTGTTTAACTGTTTCTTTTCTCTGCTGTTAATTTGCTCCATCTCTGTTATTTCTCCTTGAACCCTAATCATGTGGGCATGTTTTCAGCTGCCGTAATCTTATGTTGATGTGATATGATGTTGCTGTTGTTAACTGTTGATTAATCTCTCGTGCACTTATCAGCCATCTTCTCACTCACATAGCAAATAATCCCTCCATTTTCTCTCTCTTCCCTTCCTCGTGAATAACCATCAACCTCAACTCCCTGTCTCCCAAAATCTCCACTTTTTCTTACTCTTCCCCCAATCATTCTGTCTGCTGATCCCCATTCTCTACCCACAAATTCCCCTCCCTCCTCCCATCTACTTCTGTCCCCCTCCCTCCTTATCGCTGCCCATTTCTGCCCCTCCCTCTCTGCAGGATTTCTGGCAGGTATGGGGTGTGTGCCGAGCAGCATGTGTGCACCTGAATGAAAAACTGCACTTTGTAGTCACTCCCTCTTCTTTCAACTTTATCCTGTTCTTTGTCTTATGGTGCTCTATTTTTTTATTTTCTTTCTATAACTCACTCTCTCTCTTCTCTGTAGTAATGTGGAGGGCTTAACTATTCACTGTTGTTAGTCCAGGGGAACAGCTAAGTAGTTTTTCTGTATTTACCCATCTCAGCTTCAGCAAGAGTGAAACCAATGTCGTGGCCTCAGTTCTCATTACGACCACTGTGGATAGGATAGCAGTCAAACTGTGCATTTAAAGTGTATAATTTGTATTGAATTTACATCTAACTTTCCTCTCAGTACAGTATACATGCTGTAGGTTTTGAGCACAGCTGTGTGAAGATGCCATGAGAATAAAGCACCACCACTTCTTGTGGTGTTCTTCACCTGTTATTTTCATATGAGCACATAGTAAAATTCACATATTTTTATAATAAAATTTAAAGAAGAATGTGAAGTTTTGCAAAGCTGAGATGCAAAGCGCAGCTAAAATGGAGTCCTTTATAAGGAACTTGTCATCGGTGCTGTTCCCCTGCACTCCTTCTGTCTTGTTTTATAAACACCTTTTTTCCTCATCCTTTCATATCTTCTAAGAAATATCAGCTCTAGCTCACATGCTTTGGCACTCTAGCCTTTTTCCCAGCATGCACTGCTCTGTTGCCTGTGTCTCATGGAGAAAGCAACTGGTGGTGGCCCCTCTTTGCGCATGGTGACATGATGGGGTGGTTTTGGACCCAGGCTCTTTTAGCTAACGTTGAGGCTGTATTGATGTGCTTGGTAGCATTCACAAATCCATTCTCTGGATTGTCCCGATGTCAGTGCTGCATGATTTTTGTAGAGCATGGTTTTGAGTCACTGAAAGCAGGACTTGGCCTGTACATCTAAAATGTATCCAAACTGTTCCCACATGCTGTTGCCCTCTCTGTATGTAAAGCCACAACGTCTGCCGTGTGACCTGCTACAACTGAGAGCAGACACCTGTCGCTCAGAGGGAGTGCAGAGGGGCCTGCTCCAGTAGAAACAAGCCTCTTGTCACACCAGCTGCTGTTACACTCACTCTTTCTGATTTCACAGGAAGCTCCCCGGGGCCACTGTTTGGACTGTCACGGATCTATTTCTCTCTTCAATTCTCACATGCTTTCTTTGTCCTTTCTGTTAATTTTGCTGTCTATATAAGGTCACACTAACACACCTACACACCAAAACTTCCTTTCTCTTTCCTCTCTTAATCATCTAGATGAGGTTGGAATGTCTGCACACCTGGTCAGCTAATTCGGTTGCCCCTCTCCTCTTATGAGACAGCTGCCACTCCTCAGCAATTGAAACTTGTGCATTGAGGGTTCCACATCAGGGTTCATTAGTGTGAATGTGCTCCTAGAATAATAAGTTACTAGAGGTAGAGAGCTAATACATTCATGTTCGTTCTACTCACACACCTGCCCGCCTATATACAGGCTGTGGTGTTTTCATCCCATGGTATCATTATCGGCAACAGGAAAAATTCACTCTTGACCACTCCAAGATTTGTCTTGTTTATGTGTGTAGGTGTTTTTGTGCGGTTCAGGGCAGTCATGCACTTTAGTGTGTGTGGTTTTCTATTGGGCTTGGATGGAGGCCTTGTTATGTGTTGCAGCACGCACTTGTACACACTGAGAGCTTTCAGCCAGCATTCAGAAATGTCAGCCTCAGACCTGGGCTGGCTTTAACCTCAAGCTGGTTAAATTCCCTTTCCCCTGAAACTTGCGTCTTTCATTGTACCTGCCAAAGTGATAGTAACACCAGAGCTACCAGATCACACAAAGCGGCACAAAGGACATAAAGGTACTATTCAATTTTTAATGCATTTGGCTCACCCCTCGCCCCCTCTGTTTCACCCTCTCTGCGCTATCCGTCTGTCACACTGCACATCTCTCTCATTTAATCAGTACAACCGCACCAGTGCAACTCTCCAGTACAAAGATTTCTATCGAGACTCAACTGTACATGAGATGAGAGGTCGCTCCGGGGCAGGCATCATTCAAGTGTCACACACATGAATGCATAGACAAAGAGAGTGGGAGCAGGTTGCCTGTCTTTGCAGTCTGAGCTTTTCATCTTCAGTGGCAGGTCTCAACCTAGACCTCTATGTTGTGGTGCTCACTGGAGACTGAGCAAACAGACTCATGACAGTATCTTAAAAAATTGATTTTGAAGTCATTTTTATTTTAGAGCTTATAGACACAAACGATGTGGATTATATCTTATTGTTTTTTCATCCATTCCTCTCTCTTCTGTTCTGGGGTTGTCTGCAGTGTTGGACAGGGTCACAGATCTAATCAATAACAAAGCAGTGCAACCCGCACAATGGCACAGTGGTATTAAAAAGAGCCAAGTCTAAGCTACCATCAGTTCTCAGCCAAGTGCCTGGCCATACAGAGTGCGGGTGGAGTATTGTAAAAGGCAGAATATGGATGGGTGACACAAGGCATATTTTTAACATCCCAGTGTCCATGTTTAGAAGACTGCAGTATACTGTGTCAGATTACCTTTCATCCAAGTCCCAGTCATTTCAACAGCTGCCTGTTTTTTTTTTGTTTGTTTTTTTTATTAAAACATGATATCAGAAATGTTTGTTCTCATCGGCATAGGTTCAATTATATCACAGCTATCAAAGCAACAGTGCCATGTGGTTGTTTAGATCATGTAAAGATAGTTGATATAAAAATTGCATTGATACAAGCAAGTCATTCCTCACTTTTGGGTTTAATAATGAAATGTTAGAATCCTAAAGAACCTTTCAGGCAATCCAAGTTTGTTACTTTTTCACTGGAGTGCTCACAAAGTGTTTCTTAGCCACTCCTGAAAGGAGGAGAAAGTAATGTAGCCCTTTGTATGTCTGGCTCTGGTTGTGCTTGACTTCGATGAGTCTCATTTGCTGCCCTCTTAAAGCTTGGGCTACTTGAAATTTGACCAGGACAGCTATCAGGCTGCTCTGTAGCCTGGTCATTGAAGAGATTAGCCTCAGCCAAACCCTTGACCCTATCTACAGTATGTATATAATGACAGAAGTACATTTGAGTGGCCCGTCATCAGTGCTGTTCAGCCAGCAGCTCAGTGCTGACAGAGCTACTTCTGCTCACAGGCTTCATGGACTGACTGGCTAACACATCAGTGTATATACATGAAAACCTCACTGGGCTCAAGGCAGAGGTTTAAAAAGAATATACACATAGGCAGTTATGAAGCTGACACTGATCAACAGACACATAGATACAGCATTAGCTGTTAATTAACATGGGTGCAACAGCAGTTAGGTTTATAGTCATTTGAAATTCAGTACTGTGGGGGAAAACATATGATGAGTGTTAAAGGCTGACACCAGTCTAGTTGGGATCTCCTTAATGATTGCAGCAACACATTTTAAAAGCATAAGGTCCTTTGGGTGGTTGAATCAGAACTGATGAAAGACTAAAGTGATGAGTAGTCTGTCTGGGGAATTCAGTAACCTTATAAGTATCTTTTGTTGGTAAAAACCTTGTATTTATCTGAATTATATATAAATATTTGTAGTTTATATCCTTGTTCCTGGAGCACACATTATTGCATATCTTCAGTAGGAGGCTGAAACTTGCACCAGTGACATAAGGTGGAGGATGAAGAACTTAGGACATGACCTTAGAGTAGAGCCACAAGCTCCATGGAAAATGTCTAAAAGCCAATAAGAAACCCACAGCACAGTTTGATATACACACTACCATAATTCTGTGTCTGCTTGAGAGCGTGTATGGTGTTGCATCATAAATTTGTTGGAGAGCTGTATTACATGGTAGCACATTGTGTATGTGAGAGAGAGTAAAATAGTTAAAGCTACGTTCTCTCAGCTTAGCAGTGAGGCCTGGCTTTACAATGGTATCTTAAGAGAGAGAATGGTGGCCTTCTCTGAGCAGGACTCCTATTGCATCACAGTACACTAAAAGCTATGTGTTTATAGGTTAGTGTGCCCATGAACACTCTGAAACCTCTTCTTTTATGAGCTGAATGCACTGTTTGGTTCTGTTTTGTTCAGCCATTAGGTTACAGTATATTTGTTTTGATTAAATGTCGTTTTAGCTGTTCTGTGGGGGTGTTTTTGTCCTTGACTCGGGATGCTGAAAATAGTGAGTTATTATGTCTAATTTGCTTTATGCCTCTGTTCTGATCATTATAATGAGGCCCAGTGTGTTTATGTCTCTTGTGTGCATAGTTGCGTAGCTGCCTCTGTGGGCATGAGTACATGCTTGCCAGTTGAAATACACACTTGTGTGGTTGTGCGGCTCACCTCAGGCCCAGAAGGCTTTCTCTGTGTCATCATTCAAAGCTCTAGTGCCAATATCAACCTCTTCAACTCTCACTTTTTCTTTTTGCGCTCTGTCCTCTCTCTATATGGACATATCTGTCCCTTCTAGAATTTTCTCACATCTGTACACATGCAAACATATGAAAGCCTTCAAGTCTTTTGGTACAGAAAGTTAGTTTAGCTTTTGATGGGTTTTTTTTTCCTCAACCAGTAGCACTGTTCCAAAAATAACTGTTCCTCTTTCCCCTCATATCTCCCACTCCCTTCTCCACTTAAGCTTTAGATGTAAATGCCATCAATAATAAATATGACAGTAGAAGCCAATATTTTTTTATGTTTGTATAATTGGCATGTAAGAGAGAGACACAAAGTGGGGATGGTGATGGATTATATTACCAGTTGTCTTGTAGCCATTGTAAAATCTGTATTTAATGGTAGTGGGTTCATGGAGAGAGAATTTGAATGTTAAGGTGGATGCCACCAAATTTTTCTGTTCAGATATGTTTTTCACAATTAATTCATGCCTCTTTCAAGTGATAATATTCGACTAGCTTTTGTTTGCTGTGTGCACCTTTCATCCAGCTTTGGTAACAGTATTTAAGATGCAGGCACTGCCTTTCATGCCTGCAAATTTTAATTATAGACTACAAAGCCCAAAGACATAACTGAATTCTTAAATTGAGTGGTATCCCCCAATGATCTTATTTTGAACAAGATGTTTTCTGTGCGTGTATTGTGCACACCAATATGAATGCACATGCGTGTCTTTGTTGTTCTAGGCCCTGCTAAAATCAGCAGAGGCTATATTGTTCTCTAACAGTTGTTTCTCCTCCTTCCTCCTCTTCTGAAATGGAACCCTTACAGACGGAGGTAACTCCACATGGGCTCAGCCCCACCCCCACCTCCTCCTTAGGCATGCTCTGTCCACTCTGTTTGGTGGAGTGTCCGACTAGTGGGACACTATCTTTCAAGACTCTACCACTGATTGTGTAGTGTGCATGTGGTTAAGTCACACTTTCATGCAATGCTGTGAATATACACATACTAACAGGAAAGTGTTTGTGCGAATGAAAGAGGGATAAAGTCACTTTGTTTTTAACAAACACATTTGGGTTGTGTTACGGACATGGTTAATCAATGGTGTGTGTGTTTGTGCTACAGTATCTCATGTTCTCCCTCTCTTTGTCAGTTTCTCACTGTTAGTACAGCCTCTGGTGGATAAATGGTGTTGTACATGAGCTGACCACTGACTAATTGTTCATCACTACCACACTCACCTGCCTGAAAGGCTTCATGTGTATGCAGCATTTGCATGACTGTTACTGTGACAAATTGTCTCTACATACTCATCCTATTTAATGTGTGTGTGGAAGTACCGTATGTGTGTATGCTTCTGTGTTTGAACACAGCCAATCTCTGATTGTTTTGTGCTCTGACACACACATGCTTGCTTGCACACACACACCTGGGGCAGCTGTAAAAACTGTAAGGCTACTGCTGAATCATGTGAAATGTTGTTAATCTAACTTTTTACCTATTGTTTTTGTTCTGGCCTGGATGAGCAGAAGATCGCCCAGGAGAGGGAGAAGTTTGCAGATGAGGACAGCATATTTTACACACTGGGAGAATGTGGCCTTATCTCCTTCTCTGACTACATCTTTCTCACCACTGTGCTGTCCAGTAAGTGCTGTACTTTACTTACTGCCTAGAAGTCTAATAGGTCCTCTGACCCATCCCATTTAATCCCACATCCTTAAAATCTTTTACACCAATCACAGACCAAATCCCAAGATGATCTCTTCAGTGTCTTTTCTGGTCTTTGCTTTCACTGTGTCAGTTAAAACTGACAATGTCAAAGAGATACATTTAGCAGTATGATCTTATTAGATATGTTTTGTAGCTCAGTATTTCTTTAGTTCTGTCAGAGTTAATAATGTGTGTCTACTGAACTAGCTGCCTTGGAGCTGTTGTGTTTCACAGAATCTGTGTGATTTAGCTAACGCTTTCATTCATGGTGGATACAGGGAGTAAATGCTTTGTTTCCTAATATGCCAGAATTCATGGTAATAAAAAAAATGGAACTCTGACTCCGTTCTCTTCAGAGGCTAGTATGCTTTCATCCCCAGCTCAGCTTGACTGTTTATTATAATCTATTAACATGGAGAAAGTCTCTGGGGATGTTTTTCAAAGACCAGTCATTTTTAAGCATACATGGTAGGATGCTTTATGGCTGGTTTCAATCAATTTACACGGCCACCGCATAATTGCAAAGAAGACCATTTCTTAACAGACACACTGTTGGTTCAAGGCTCAGAGTGGTATGTATTAACTGCCTTCATGCAGTCTGAATGAATCCCTTGCTAGTCAAGATAGGACGGCTATAGTATTTCCCCTAGAAGAGTTAGGTTGTTGAAGTGGTCATGGTAGCTCACTGTACCATAAAGGTATGAAGCATTGAAAAGAATTTCAGAGATACAGTAGCTTATAAAATCAAGTGTGTACATCTTATTGTTTGGGTTTTGTATTTCATTTGATAAACAGTGTAGGCATTATAACCTTTGTGCACATAATCCCAGCGAAGAATGGTTCATTGTCCAAAAACAGGCAGCACTTTTATAAATTATAGATTTTATCAGTGATGGACTAGATAAGTTACCAATAGAAAGAACTAATAGTACATGTGTTGTAAAAATGGACCAGAAACCTTAAATGCAATACTATATTTAGTTGCATGCCTTGTTACCATGCAGTAGTGGGTGAACTGGTTGTTGTAGCAGATTCTCAGGAACTGCTATAGGCAGATAGTGTACAGATCGGACAAACAACACAGCAAATACAAATTCAAATATTGTTGATGCAATTTTTAGATTCCAGATTAGGGCATAAAAAATCTGGATCTGTTCTAACAGCTTCCCCGTTGACAGAGGGTGGGCTGACTATGTAGTAGTCATTGTGCACTCTGATGGAAAGGGCTTGTAAAACGCCTGGAGAATTTCTGAGAATGTGTGTCTTTTGTGTTTGTGTCCTGTTTTGTCCAGCTCCCCAGAGGAACTTTGAGATTGCTTTCAAGATGTTTGATCTGAATGGTGATGGAGAAGTGGACATGGAGGAGTTTGAACAGGTTAGACTGGAACGAGCAGCATGTCCTACATACAGCTGCCACATGCATACAGTGAGGAACAGAAGTATTTGAACACCCTGTGATTTTGCAAGTTCTCCCACTTAGAAATCATGGAGGGGTCTGAAATTCACATTGTAGGTGCATTCCCACTCTGAGAGACAGAATAAAAAAAAAAATTCAGGAAATCACATTGTATGATTTTTAAAGAATTTATTTGTCTTGCA